CAGCCACGCGTACCCATCCCATAACACTGTTGCCACCATGTTCGAAGGTTAGTATGGTATGTTTTGGAATTATGAACTTTTTCTCTCCTTCTTCAGACTTTTCTTTTCCCATCATTCCGGTACGAGTTCATCTAGGTTTCATACACCCAAAGATGTTTTTCCAGAACTGTGCAGGCTCTTTTTAGATGTTTTCTGGCAAAGTCTAATCTGGTCTTCCTCATTCTCGAGTGTCACCAGTAGTTTGGACCTGGTTGTGAACTCTGTATTTACATTCATAAAGGTGTTTCTTGATTGTAGATTTTGAGAGTGATGTTCACTTGGTTAGTTGTTTTCTGTAATCTCTCAGGCCTTTTGCTGTCACTCAGGTGGCCAGTGCATTCATTGAGACTGTTGATTTGGTGACTGCTGAAATATTTGCTCTTTCTCTGATACCTTTGTTTAATTTTTTCAGCTTTCACCTTCTGCAACCTCGAGTCAAGAGCATGAAAAGTTAACCAATAGAAGTTCAACACTTGAAATTATCTTGTTTTAATTTATTGGGGAATAAAAAGGGAACAGTCCTCACCAATGTTCCCTCTAAGCTGCGCGCGTGCGCAGTTGCGCACTGCTGGCACGGTCTCTGCGCACAGAAAAAAAATCTAACCTGAATTGAAATTAAAATTAAAACTTTAACAATTCTGTTTTGCAGTGTTAGTCAGTCAGTGACTGGCTGCTCCCGTATGGCATTAGAACGATGCCACCTTATCCCATAGTCCAGCCAATAACGCGATTCACATTCGTATGTACGCAGCTAACCAACGTCGTTGACAGGCTATGACAGCGTCCTTATGTGCCGACACCGGTGTTTTAACTAGCAAAGCGGCGTGGCTGATGTGGAGTGAAGCCACGTTAATGACAACGTGTACAACCGTTGGAGACGTGAGCAGGACAGACGGAACAATTGATGGAAAAAGTGTGGACTTTATACCAGCTTTTAAATTGTGTTGATCGGCCACGTAAAACCAGAGTTATGATAAAAAAAATATCTGCAATGTTTGGTTTCCTTCCTGAATACTGTCGTTGTTTATATTTACTGCGGGAAGAAACGGTAAAAACTGAGTTTTATAAGGAAAACGCTCCAAAGCACTCTCCACCTGTGAGCAAAACCAAAATAGCCCTTCTCTCCCCCACCCTTTCCTATTGATCGAAAAATGTACTGTACCATGTCGACCAATCAAAAAATGATATGGCAACATGGCATTTATTGTTTAGGAAGGGGGAAGTTTTAGGAGTGACGGCGGTGTTTTGAGATGTGAGAGATTGTCGACGTTTAGCGCAAATCTTGTGTAGTTAGTGTGTAGTGTAGTCAAAAGTTTTGTTGTGTGTGTCAGAACAGTGAGGCGACTGTTGAATGTTACAGGTGTTACAGGAGTGATACATCTCCTGTTGTCAGGCCTGCAGGTATCACGCTGTTGTTCTCCTTTATCTCATAGTGGACAGAAATTATTTTTGGAGTGGCACAATTTTGATGCAGAACAGCTGATTGTTCTGTAAATAGTTTGAAATGTTTATTTTAAAAACGCCTTGGCTGCATTTTTAGGTAAACAGCTGCAAAAAACTTTTTTGAAGAAGTAACTATATAATTAATTGCCCAACATTGGTCATTGTATACTGTATTTTGCAGAGAGAGTTACAGGACTCTCTCCCAGACCACAGACTCAGAATACAAGTCAGAGCTTTAAAAAAAAAAAAGAAAGTTTTGTTTTCAAAATTGGAGTTCAAGTTATTTTTGCTTCCAATAGTGTTAACATACTACACAGGTAATGAACAAGATTTTTTTTAAATGTTCATTGTAAGTGGGCTAAAGCAGTTAATTAAAAGTAGTCTAACATAAATGTAAATGCTGTAATTTGATTATTTTAATAAACCATGTAACTTGGATGGATTCGATGCTGGTGTGACCACAGTGCACATGTCTGCTGTTGCTCACAGTGGCCCAAGGGACCGCTCAGGGAGTTTGTGTGTTCGCTCAGACACATGAAAAATTAGAGGGAACATTGGTCCTCACATGATCACGAAATTGCTTGTCAACCAGTACTCCAAGTCCTTTTGATCCTCTGAAAATGGGCGACTGTGTATAAAAATGGTTGCAATTTCCTAAACAGTTAGTGTAATACTTTTGTTAAATCTCTTAAATTAAAGCTTAAAGCCTCCACCTTGTTCACATCTTGATTCTGTCTTTTTTTAGTTTTAAGATCTGCTGTGATGCAGAGTGTAGAGGTGCACAGAGGTAAAACTAGAAAAATTGTGTGATTGTATGAATACTTATGGACTTGGCTGTACTTCTCAATTTTTGTGAATTCATTGGAAGAAGTTTCTAATTCAAGGAGTTCCACTATTCTTTGTTTACATGGTAACATAGCCACATGGAAATGTTCGCACAATGGTGTTTACGTCTTTTGTCCTCAGGCAAGCCTGCGCAGCCCCGAGCTGACCTGGGAGAGGGTTCGCTCTCAGGTCGACCACATCATCTGGCCTGATGGAAAGAGGGTCGTCCTGCTGGCAGAGGTAGCTTTCCTCAATAGTCTTCACAAAACTGTGTTTTAAATTCTCAAAAATTTGTGTTTGTATCGCTCATAACTAGGTTGAAACAGGAGTTTGTTCTGCACTAAACAGTTTTGTCAGACATCTTGTATTTTTTTTTTCCAGGGTCGCCTCTTAAATCTGAGCTGCTCCACAGTGCCGACATTTGTGTTGTCTATCACTGCAACAACTCAGGTTAGTAATTTCTTCTCTTCCTTTAGAGCCAGTGTCAGTAACTTCTTGGGCGAGTAAATAACAGTGTCCCTTCTTACTAAACTACCTGCAGTCTGCAGGCACATAGTTTCCCAGATTGTGAGTCATGTAAACACTGTGTGCTCTGTGTTTTGTAGGCCCTGGCACTGATTGAGTTGTTTAATGCTCCAGAAGGACGTTACAAACAGGATGTGTATCTCCTTCCAAAGAAAATGGGTAAGAATCAGCCTTGTTTAAACTGAAACTGTGCTACTTTGGTAGAGAAATGATAAGCAGTATGCAAGTGTGGATCACAATAGTTGTGAAGTCTAATTAGTTTTTACTGCTTCTCTGAAAGGCTGCTCATTGTTGCCACCCTGTGGCTTCACTAAAAAGATCACATCACACACATTTTGTCTTTTTCCCCCAGACGAGTATGTGGCCAGTTTGCACCTACCCAACTTTGATGCCCACCTGACAGAGCTGACTGATGAGCAGGCCAAATACATGGGCCTCAACAAGAATGGCCCTTTCAAACCTAATTATTACCGGTAGGTGCTCCTGCCTTTTTCTGCTTCTATTATCACGCACCAGTCCATATTTTCACTTTTTAAACTGGTATTTAATTAAACTCTCTTTTTGTTTTGTTTTTTTCTCTACAGGTATTAATGAGAATGCCTGATCCTCAACGCACAGTTACCCTGCAACAAACAGAGATATCTATTTTATTTTCTAAATAGCTACAGAATGGAGGAATTATTTTACTTATGCTGAATGTAACTTATTAAAAGCACCTCAGAAGTAGAGTTAAATGATAAAAAAGGACGCGTTAAGGCATGTAGAAAACATATAACCAACTAACATTTTACACGTCTTGTCAGGTGTTTAAACAAAAGCCTACTTGCATGCTATGATGTATGTGCACGTATTTAGTTGCTTCAGATTATGTTACTAGATCACAGAGTTGCTGATTTGTTTACCCCATTTACGCACAGTGCCAAATGATGGCCGTAAGAATGAAACAGAGGATACCTTTTCGATTTTGTCTACCGTGACATTAAGATTTGCCGGGTACATTCCATGAGCCAGAGTTTAGGCTGAGCCAAAACAAACTCTGTGTTACAACTTAGATTATTTTAGAAATGTTTGTTTTTATATATACGTCAAATAATCTGTTTCAATGGTATCTGCATACATGCCCTAAAAGGTAACATCCAGTCATCCTTTTTATTATAGCAGTGATGATGATGAACTGTTGCCTGTTACATAAACAAAATGATGAAGTCTTGTTTATTCACGTCTTGTGATCAAGTAATGTCGTTTTGCTAATGACAGATTAAGATGTTGTTTTATGTCTGGGTGTGGAGCAGCTGATGTCTTTCCTAAAAAGGCAGTTGGAGAAGACTTACAGAGAGCTGGTAAAACACTTTTTGACTGCTTTATCTTCCCTCATTTCATCCCAAGTTTCCATTTGCTCACTTTAATTCCAGACGCCTCACTGAAGAGTTTTTCTGACTGGATAGTACCTTTGAGGCCATGATATGAATGTGCCTTTTAAATGATTTATAACAACATAATACTAGCGCTGAGCTTAATTATATGAACCATTCCTTTTTGTAAAACTGCATTTATTAGAAGTACATTAACTGTCTTCCTTCCACTGCTTCTGGTTGTAAGTATAACTATAATGTATGAGCTGTGTGTTGGCAAAATATATATATATATATTAGACTTTATGTCAGGCATATGATTGTAGTCGTCTTAATTTGATCCAACAAGATCACTTTAATATTTCATGTGATCAAAATGACATAAGTGTATACTATCTATGTAAACGATTGCATTAAATCAGCAATAAAGCGAGTCTTTTTACCATGACAAACTGAGAACAGAAAATGAAGGAGAGGCCTTTTGTGAGTCCCTGGCTCAGTAGGTAAATATTTTGGATTATTTTGGGGATAAAACTGACATTGATGGGTGCTCACACTTCAACATAACACATCACAATTCCTAAATGTGCCTTACTGCCACATTCTCCACATTGTATCCCTCTGAGTCGGCCCTGCTGGCTGAGGGTCAGATTGCCGTCTCACTCTGGAATATTCACCGGCCCTCGAGCACCGAGCCAGCTGCATTCGTTTCTAATATTAACACTTCAGTCATTGAGGAGGAGGGGGCGGGAGCATTCTGGAAACCTGGTTGTAACTATATAAGCAAGGAGCCCCAGCCAGTCTAGGTATGAACTCCAGAAGAAACAGAGGCAAAAGCTGACACGGAGGAAACATCCCCAGGATATCCTTCTGAACTTCTGAGCACCAGAGAGCGCACCACTGAAAGTAAGTAGCAACACTGATTGGATAAAGTTTAGACTGTAGAGACAGTGAGGACTTCTTTGTGTGGGTGTCTTACTCTAATTCACTCATTTCCTAAAAAAAAACAGAACTTTAACAGTTATGTGCAACAGTGTAACAGTTATACTTGATATTAAGTCTTTACTTATGAAGGATAGTCTCTAAGTCCTAGTCTGCATGTTTATTTATTTAAATATTAAAATAAGGCTACATATGAATAACCAGATACCGATCTATAGTTCGCTTATTTTTTTTAAGTGAAGCATTTAGATTCACTGGTCTTGTGAATTCTAGCCCTCACCACTGTAAAACTACTACCTAGCAATTAGCTTTAACGACTACACAGACAGTGTGCTTTTAATTCTAAGTGCAGCTCCCTGATTTGGGTGTGACAAGTGCTCAAACTTTATGTTAGTATCATTGGAATAAACACTGAAAACTATCAAAAACAAGACTTTATCCATTTAAATGCAATGTCTTCTAAATCTGTCTAGGTACTAGGAACCGGCGAAATGTCTGCACCAAAGGGAGTATCCATTGGCATTGATCTGGGCACCACCTATTCTTGTGTTGGGGTTTTCCAGCATGGCAAAGTTGAGATCATTGCCAACGATCAGGGCAATAGAACCACTCCAAGCTATGTGGCTTTTACCGACACAGAAAGGCTTATTGGAGATGCTGCCAAGAACCAAGTTGCAATGAACCCCAATAACACAATCTTTGATGCCAAACGGCTGATTGGAAGAAAGTTTAATGACCCAGTCGTACAGTCCGACATGAAGCTCTGGCCTTTCAAGGTGATTGACGATAATGGAAAGCCCAAAGTCCAGGTGGAATACAAAGGGGAGACCAAGGCATTCTATCCTGAGGAAATTTCCTCCATGGTCCTGGTTAAAATGAAGGAGATAGCTGAGGCCTACCTGGGACAAAGGGTGTCAAACGCAGTCATCACAGTGCCAGCTTATTTCAACGACTCCCAGAGACAAGCTACCAAGGATGCTGGGGTGATCTCTGGACTAAATGTTCTGAGGATCATTAATGAGCCCACAGCAGCAGCCATTGCATATGGCCTGGATAAAGGCAAAACAGGAGAACGCAATGTGCTGATCTTTGATCTTGGCGGAGGCACCTTTGATGTGTCTATTCTGACCATTGAAGCTGGCATCTTTGAGGTCAAGGCCACTTCAGGAGACACACACCTTGGTGGGGAGGACTTTGACAACCAAATGGTCAAGCACTTTGTAGAGGAATTTAAAAGAAAACATAAGAAGGACATTAGCCAGAATAAGAGAGCAGTGAGGAGATTGCGTACAGCTTGTGAGAGGGCAAAGAGGACCTTATCCTCCAGCACTCAGGCAAGCATTGAGATTGACTCTCTCTTTGAGGGAATTGATTTTTACACCTCCATCACAAGGGCACGTTTTGAGGAGCTCAACTCAGATCTTTTCAGGGGAACACTTGGCCCAGTTGAGAAAGCCCTGCAGGATGCCAAGCTGGATAAATCCAGGATTCATGAAATTGTCCTGGTTGGTGGCTCCACAAGAATTCCCAAAATCCAGAAGCTCTTACAGGACTTCTTTAATGGCAAAGACCTGAACAAGAGCATTAACCCAGATGAAGCTGTAGCCTACGGTGCAGCAGTCCAAGCAGCCATCCTCATGGGCGACACCTCAGAGAATGTCCAAGATCTGCTGCTGCTGGATGTCGCTCCCCTGTCTCTGGGCATTGAAACCGCAGGCGGTGTTATGACACCTCTGATAAAGCGAAACACCACAATCCCCACAAAGCAGACTCAGATCTTCTCCACATACTCAGATAACCAGCCAGGTGTATTGATTCAGGTATTTGAAGGCGAGAGAGCCATGACCAAATGCAACAACCTTCTGGGCAAATTTGACCTCACAGGTATCCCTCCAGCTCCCCGAGGTGTTCCACAGATAGAGGTAACATTTGATATTGATGCCAACGGCATTCTAAATGTATCCGCCGTGGACAAAAGCACCGGCAAAGAAAACAAAATCACCATCACCAATGACAAGGGCCGCCTTAGCAAAGAAGAGATCGAGCGGATGGTGCAGGATGCTGAGAAGTACAAGGATGATGATGACATTCAGAGAGACAAGGTTGCAGCAAAGAACACGCTGGAGTCCTATGCCTACCAGATGAAGAGCAGTGTTGAGGATGAGAGTCTGAAAGGTAAAATTAGCGAAGAGGATAAAAAGATGGTCATTGACAAGTGCAACCAGACGATTTCCTGGCTGGAGAACAACCAGCTTGCAGAGAAAGATGAGTATGAGCACCAGCAGAATGAACTCGAGAAGGTGTGCAGACCAGTTGTGACAAAGTTGTACCAGGGAGCAACACCATCAGGAAGCTGCGGCGGCCAGGCAGGAGGAACCTCCCAGGGCCCTACTATTGAGGAAGTGGACTAAAGCTATTCACCTCAGCATATCACACTCATGGGAAAATTTACAACTGCGGTTTAGTAAAAATAAATGATTTCAATGTTGTTTCCTTTTCTACAATAAATTCTATAAAAGCACATCTCTCTTCATTATTGTTTGTGATAAATATTTTTTTGAACATGGAATAAAAGAATAATAAAAAAGAAACAAGCGCTAACCTTTTTAACTGATGCACATGATCAAAAGTGTTTATAATTTTGAGAATGGCCTCTCTTTAAAACCATGTACCAATGAGAGTACCAAGAGTTTCTGATAGAAAATTCAGACTTTGATGAATTTGGACATGAAATTCATAAAGGTACTCAATAAGTATTTTTGTTAAAGATGGTTGACAAACCTTATTCAGACATTGTTTCACATTTCTTTTTCCCTATTCAAGCTGTACTTAAAAAGTAATATGCAGGATAGAGTCATTCTAGGACAGACTTGTGGGGAGCTTTATAGACAAAAGGCAAGTTCTCATCTTTAAAGGTAAAGCATAAAAAATGTATATGAAAACATGTTAGATGCCAAACAAGAGTTTGAACACATGAACACTGTAGGTGTGCTATGAGTGTGTATGACAGACAGTTTTACTGCTGCACCTCTGTTAAAACAAACCAACCCAAACCTACTTTTATTTTGTTTTATACCAAACATGCTTTTCTTGCCTGCATTACCCAAAATGCAACAAGCACAGCTGGTTTATCACACTTTGGTAGCTGCAGACTGCAGAGATATAGCAAGTTTACATCTTTCTAGCACCTCCAGATTTGCTCATATTTTCAGTTTTAATATTTCCCCCCAGACTTTTACAAATTTCTGCAGCTCTCTCTGAAGAGATTTATACAAATGTTTCCCTCATAGAGCTGTGCTAACTGCCTTTAGCTGTAAACAGTAAACAGACTTTATTGTATACTGCAAGTGTTGTCAGCTCTGTGTAATATTAGTACTTTTATGTCAAAGGGTCTGCACACAAATCACACTCACTGAAAACTAAGCAACTCATTTAAACATGTTGTTCACTGAATGATCCTCTAGGTGGCGAAATCAGGACGTTAGTTTACTAAAACCACTGGCCATAAGCACTACCTGTTGGAGCACTCTGTACACTGTAACAATAACAACCGAAAAATAAAAAGAATCTGAATCATCACCACCTTGAGGCTACTCCTGATAAAAATCCCACCTAAACCTTCTGGATATTGGTGGGTATGTGATCAATCTTATTAACTCAATTTAAGTTGGTTATCTTGTGTGACTATAATATAAACTCCTACCAGCATGCATGCAGTAATGCCATGAAATAAAGGTATTCTGCGTTACAGTACACAGTAGTTTATTTATTCTCCCCCACGGCTGTTTGCGTTTTATACCCTTGGCACGCTTCCTTAATGTGACGCTACACAATTACAGGTGCTGGTGACAAATCAGAGGTCAGTAGTCCCCATGGTGACTCAGAGCTGAATATGTACAATAAAGGCTGCAAAGCGTAAACGGGCTTAATTAAACCGAGTTTCATTCTCACGCACACGCACAAACACAAAGATGCACACCTCACCACCAGTCCATCCTCTCGGTCTAATTAGAGGGAGTGGTTCAATAGTGCGCCAGGCTTCGGCAGACGAAGGGTTAAACTGCTGAGGCAGTTGAGCGCACCATCCAACCGGGCTGTGTCGCTAGGGGAAGATATAGGGTACTTGTGGAGAAGCAACAGATCTCAGCTGGAAAACAACCCCACATCTGGCACGCGGGACGACCAAATCTGAGGAGGAAAAATCTGTCAAAATTTTCACTGCATGATTAGATGGACTGGACCAGTGGATCAATCTCTGACTTCCAAATCACGAGCAGGGGCGAGAAAAGTTGCCAATATTAGTTGTGGATTTGATTTTGGCGCTGCAGAATTTGGATATTTTTTTGTTTTTTTTAGAAAGGGGGAGATGATCGTCACATGTTTTCTGACTTAGCGTTTTCTCCTATAGGAAATACCATGCGTAAAAGCCAATATTCTTTTTTTTCCTGGCAATAATATGTCTTCGTGGACGGGAAATAAGTCCAACATCTTTGCGCCCGTGGACAGGAATTAAGTATAACATCTGGAGGCAACAACTCAAAACACCTTGTCCAATCTATTCGACTAAAACGTTTACAAACACCGATCGAGTTCCACCACCCGCGTTTTGCTTTTTTCAGCCTCCAGACTGAGTTTGGTTACAGGTGGTTTTCATCGCGCTTTACCATTACTATGCACCTTAACAATCAGCAATAAACGAGCCACATGGGTGTGAAATGAAGGCTCACTTTGCTTTAATTTTCTGATTTTTTTTTCCAGCGGACAACAGTTTGAACCAGGGGCGAACAGCCAGTAGGTCTGCTCCCACTGCTTCTAAATGATAAGCTCGGTTTGTGTTTCGTCTTACCGAGGACGCAAGTCAGGCAACAAACCTCCGTCTAAATCATGTCTGAAGGAAGACATGGCCAGAGGGGAAGACTCGGATAAAATTATTATTAACGTAGGCGGCACTCGACACGAGACCTACAAGAGCACCCTCAGGACCCTGCCGGGGACGCGCCTGGCATGGCTAGCAGACTCGGAGTCGCAGGTCAGCTCCGACTCAGACATTGCGTCCCCGAGTGCCACCGAGTTCTTCTTCGACAGACACCCCGGCATCTTTGCGTACGTGCTCAACTATTACCGGACAGGCAAGCTGCACTGCCCGGCTGACGTCTGCGGGCCTCTATTCGAGGAAGAGCTGGCGTTTTGGGGTATAGACGAGACTGACGTGGAGCCATGCTGCTGGATGACCTACCGGCAGCACCGGGACGCGGAGGAGGCCCTGGAGATATTTGAACCGCCCGACCCAGAAGACACCGATGACGAGAGAGAGATGCCGAGGAGGTTCGGCATCGAAGACGTCCCCGACAGGTCGAGAGGCTGCCGCGAAGTTTGGCAGCCAAAGATCTGGGCGCTGTTTGACGACCCGTATTCATCTAGAGCAGCCAGGGTGAGTTCAGCAGGCGGCCCTTTAACGGCCACATGTCAGAGTGCGTCCGCAAAAGCTCGCTGTGTCATTCCAACTAGGAAAAAAGGCGCACATGTTGTCCAAATCAACAGGTGTCAGCCAGTCAGGCTGCAGCAGCTACTGATGCAGCTACAGACCTGTAAACTGTAACGTGGCTGTAGCTGTCTGTATTTATCCAGTCTGCGCCTTGTCTGTCTGTTTTTAGGACATGACAGCTTTCAGGCTAAAGTTTATATCTTTACATTAGTTTCACTGACTGTTAAAAATATAGTTTTTTAGTTGAACATCAGGATTAAAAGGAACATTATGCAACCACTAGTCTTACACAATTACAAATGAATTATAAATGATAGTTTAGAGATTAATATTCTTTTTGTTTGACAAGTTTTGAATAGATTGAAATAATAAATTGACAAAAGTATGTAGAAAGCTCTCTTTTGTTTCAAAAAGTGTGCTAAGAGTCTGACCTTGGCGAGTTTTCTGTGCTATGAAGTCAGGCTTTATAGTACATCCATCCGTTGTCTTCCACTTCTCCAATTCAGGCTGGTAGAGCAGCTGGAGCCAATCCCATCTGGCTTGGAGCAAAGTCTTGCAGCCAAATTCAGCATGTAGCATCTGCTCTAGCATTGTTCTTCAGTACATGTTTTCTCTGTTTTGCTACTCTATACATCTACTACAATACACAAAGAAAAAATCTTTTTAGCCCATCATTCAAACACTCTTTATTTGACAGCTACAGTTAGCTGCTTATACTTTTAAGAAGCATTTCTTATTATCTTACACTACAGTTTTTACACCATACAGTGCAGGAGTCTGTGTAGTAGTCGTGAGTTCATTTAAGAAACTGTTTGAAGTTAAAATGATCACACATTTAACAAAAAAAACAAACATCCAAAGCTGCAAAAAGCAAATGAAAATATATCTTTCAGAACTTCACTGAGGGTGGGGGAGTCCTTTGGTATGCCTTTTAGGTCTTTTGAGACAGTTATATATGAGAATGCTGTAGTGTTTTTGCTTTAGTCCAAGACAGACATCTACTAAGATTTTAGACATATACACTATTCAGCTATTTCACAGCAACTCAGTGCATTTAAGCATGAAAACATGGTCAATATGACCTGCTTTCCTACACAACCATTTTTATGATTTACAGAGGATGACATGAAAAAGACAGTCTATCCAGTCACTTCTCTGAGTTGTTGTCAGAAGTCAAAGGAGAATAGTCAGATTACTTCAAGCTGATAGGAAGGCAACAGTAACTCAAATAAGCACTCCTTACAACCAAAGTAAGCAGAAAAGCGTATCTGAATGCAAGACTCATCAAACCTGAAGGCAGGTAGGCTACATTAGCAGAAGACCACACCGGGTGCTACTCCTGTTAGCTATGAACAAGAAACTAAGGCTACAGTTCACACAGGATCACTAACATTGGTGAATATAAAACAGAATAAATGTTGCCTAATCTAGCAAGCCTTAATCTATACTGTGACATTTAGATGGTAGGTTCCAAATTTGGCATAAACAACATGAAAGCACGGATCTCTCCTGCCTTGTATCATGAGTTCAGGCTGCTTCTCATGGTGTCCACAGTGTACCCATCGTCTGATGGCTGCTTCGAGCAAAGATAACACACCATGTCGCAAAGCTCAGATCATCTCAAACTGGTTTCTTGAACATGGCAATAAATCCACTGTACTCAAATGACCCCCGCAGTCACCAGATCTCAATCCAACAGTGCACCTTTGAGTTGTGGTAGAACAGGAAATTCACATCATGGATGTGCAGCAGACAAATGTGGAGCAGCTGTGTGAAGCTGTCATGTCAATATGGACCAAAACCTCTGAGCAAAGTTTCCAGGACCTTGTTTAAATCTATGCCACAAAGAATTAAAGCAATTCTGAAGGCAAAAAAGGGAGTGCAGGCAGTCAAAGCAAAGTGTACATAATAATGGTCAGTTAGAGCTCGAGGTCTGTCTCTGTTAGATATCATATGAAGAAACAAAAAGAAATTGAAACAGACTGCAGTATTTGGAAGTTAGGAAGTGCAGGGATCTGTTAAAAAGTAAGATCTCT